GAAGGGGGTGGAGAGGGGGGTGGTGGGGTGGTGCCTGGACGGCTGGCTCATCTGCAGCAGGGAGGCCGGGGCAGGCTCGGGCGATGGACTGTCCTGGCGCTGAGGTGGCTTCCTTCGAATGGGGTATGCCACGCACCTCTGCGACCAGCGTGGTGATACAAAGCACGCTCAGCCACAGCAGCTCGAACATGCGCGAGCACCCACAATTTAACCCGCCAGGTTTGCGGCAACCGCGCATGCGCGCCTCTCCCCGCCAACCTCCTTGCAGGCCCTGGGTGCAGTTGACGAGAAGAGTGACGGCATCGTAGTGCTCAACACCGCAGGCACGATCATGGCCGTCAACAGGGCTGCCTTTGAGATGTTTGGGTACTCAAAGGGCGAGCTGGAGTCGAAGAATGTGAGGCGAGGGGGCGGGGCGGCTGTTGGGGCGGGGCGTGCATGGAGGTTGTTTGGTTTAATGGTTGGGAACTTGAGAGGTGCGCTAGTGGAGTCAGACCTGTGTTTTTTAGTTGGAGTTGCAGCCTTTGAAGCGGGGTGGTTTGCATAGCTGACATTGTCTAATTGGGAAGTCGGGAGGCATGGGGCCACTCTGGACTGGACTACTGCGTTGTCCGAGTTGGGGTTGGCTGGTAGTTGCAAAGGGCCTTGCCTTCGCACTGCAGTCATCTGCAACCAACCCACCCTTCACCTCTTCCTCAAAACTTCGTACCCCAGGTCTCGTGCCTCATGCCTCAACCCTTCAGTGGCCGCCACACAGGGCGAGCAAGGCAGCGTTAACATGCGCAACACTTAAGAGGGCGGGCCCTTTGTATCACCTCTCATCTTAGCCAGCACATTGGGTCCACACCTTCCTGGAGCCTGGTCGCCCGCTGTTGTTACACGCGTGGTCCCGTCCCAGCCAATGCGCCTTGCATCTGCCTCCCCCTCCTGAACTCCTCAATCCCTCCCACCCCAAAAAAGAGCATCCCACCACTCTCCACTACCCCTGGCCTCCTCCCGACCCACCTGCCCTGCACCCTGCCACCCGCGCCCCCCTCTCGCAGCTACATCACCCGCTACGTCCAGTCGGGTGAGCCGCACATCCTCAACAAGCAGAGGAGCGTGGTCGGCCTCGACAAGAACCACGCCATATTTCCCATCAACATCATCGCAGTCAAGCTCTCAGGGACCGGCCAGGTGCGGCCACCCCAGGCGGGGGCACAAAGGCGGGCCGGGGTAACAACCCAATCAGTTGGGCGGATTTGCTGCCCGTGCAGTGGATCAGATCACCAACGAGGGGCGCCAGCCGGCGGGGCTAGCTGGTGGGGTCATTCAGGAGGGTCATGACTCCTGACGGCACGGTACCCAGCCTGGCTGGCCATCTCGGCTCGGGCACGGCACACTCTTCACCCCTACCCACCCCATTCCAAGCAACATCAACG